AAGTATTACAGTTTTTCCTCCTTAGGCAGGATCTTGATATTCCATACAGCAATAGAAATACTAATAATGTATTACTTGATTTGTCTTAACTAAACAAAATATGCATTTAAATGACAAAACAAGATTAGAATAGTACTTGCATAGCATTTTCAATAAAAGAAAGTATTGCTGATTTTTTTAGTTTGGGTGGTAGTGCCAGAATTGCAGACATGTTCAACTTTATAATCCTATAACAAGTATCAGTGGATCGAGTTAATCATTTTGTATGGAAAAGTGTAGTAATAGACTACCTTGAAATATTCTTTTTGTAATTCTGAAGAAATTTACCACTTTATTAATACTTGTATATCACAATATTTAAGTAACATAGACATGGTGTAGGTGTGCTTTAAGTAAGTATAAAAAAAGTTGACTGTGTCATATCTTACAGTGTTATGTCAGCATTGCCTGTGGCTTTAATTTATTGAGAAGCATGTATTATGCTTACATATTTGTGCTAAAATATTTATTTACAAGGTTTCCATTTTATGCATATTTAACCCCTTCCGTGTGCCTGGCATGGTCAGGTGGTTAGGGCACTTGACTCGCAATCTGCAGGTCGTGGGTTCGAATCCCCGTCACACCAAACATGCTCACCTGGTGTCCGGACTAGGGCACCAGTCCTACTCCCGGATAAACATCTCCAAAAGAATTTGGAGGTGTGAGAAACACCATACACAACTACTACTACCCCTTCCGTGATTTGCTCAAGATAATTTGGGCAGCCTCCATGTTTCGAAAATATTTGCCAGAATTTATTTGCATTTATAATGTGTTACAACAGGCTATCAAAAAGGGCGGATAAAAAAAAACATCTATTTTTTTAGCTCATTTCCCCCCCTAAAAAAAACTGACATGGAAGGGGTTAATGAAAACTGGAGTTTGTTTTGTAGTGTATTTGATGAATATAATTCTTGGTAGCAGTGTTTTGTGATTGTTTATTTGTTTGTGTGCTAATAGTCGTCAATGCACCATCAAGTTCCGAATATTGTTTGTTTTTATTTTTATTCTGGATTTTCTTTTTTTTTATGAAAATTATATTTCACTCACCACTAAATAACTATCTAACACTATGAATAATTTGTACTGGTTAGTGGTTTGGAAGCAATATTATCTGATGATAATAGACTTGGTAAACCAAAAGTCACACCAGAACAAAATACCTTTCACTAGTTCATTATTACTGTTTAAATTGGTAATTTATGTTATGTTTAATATAAATTAGCTATTTGAAACCTGGAATTTTTATTCTACAATAAATGAGAATATAAACCACATATTTTATTTTCTACTTAACCTTTAGGTGCAGAAAAACTAGGTTACAACAACCCTTCCGAGCTCAAAGTGGTGCTAGAAAGTGATGGAACGGAGGTTGAAGATGAGAATTACTTCAAAACAGTGGAAAAGGATACAATCTTTATCCTGCTCCGTCCTGGTGAACGGTGGTTTCCTCCTAGCATGGAAACACTGCGAGCAGGTATTTAAGTTTGTTTGTTTTGTCATTCTAAAAAAGAGAAAATTTGTTTTATATTTTACAAGTAAACTTTCCAGATTAATAAAAAAAAGAACTAAATGTTAGTTGATTGTGGAAATATTTCTCTTCAGCTGTTTTACAGAAATTGATTTCAGCCATTTTACAGATTTTTTCTTTACTATACAATCATCTTCTTTGGCTTGATTTTACAAAGTGTTGTGAATTATTTCTGTAATGGTACATCTGAGGAAGACGCATAATTCTCCAATACTGACCCTCAAACCATGCCTTCAATGAAGTACTTGCTTTTATTTGTTAAATAGTTTCTAAAACACTGAATTACAGTTCCTCTGGTGTTTATCATTATTAAATGTAGGTAATAGAACTGCTATTCTAGAAATTAATTATATAACTTGTACAATTTTTTGAGTCTTAAGTCATCGGGCATTCTTTCTTATAATAATATCTATATTAATCTTATTGTTGAGCCTATCCATGACCTTATTCGTAGTCAGTTGGAGACATGTATTCGTTCCGGTGGTGTTTCTCCAGAGGGCTCTGAGGTTGCACTTGAAGGTGATCCTGGACATTCTGGAGAGAATTTAGATTTGCATTTTCCAATGCCTTCCTTTATTCTGTTGGTTCCTCAGAGGGCCAAATTGGGATCAGCCACCTCTGGCTCATTTTCTTCAGTTGGTAACTCAAGTGTGGGATGTTTTGGGTCCTTCTCCGATTGCTTTGGAGTCTGCACCTTCCTTGATGGCTGAAAGGTCTGAGGGTGAATAATTAGTTCTCCCTCCATCCCCTGATATTGCAGTTCATGCAGGGAGGTTTATTGCAAATTTACGTGAAGGGACAGCTCTGCCTTGTCCACCACATTTGTCGGAACTACATGCTTTAGCCTATCACTGCCAGTGTCCATTTAGACTCTTAAAGAATAGACTTGCTCCTGGAAATCTGGGGTTCCAGAACAGAGTCTGTGGTCAAACTAAATAGAGCACAAATTTCTAGGATTTATCTGACCCTAACTACAGTGTTAAGGTATTTATCATCCCTCCAACTTTTGTCAGAAACCTCTCAGCTATCACCACATCAATATGGTGATGAGTTGGGACTATGTACATTGGTTTGATTATCAGCTTCTGCACTTTCCCTAGTCTCTTGGCTGGTATGTTGTCAGGATTAGTGGGGTAGAGATTTGTTGTTGGAGGGTGTTCGTCTCCTGGCTGTCACCCTCCACGTATTATATGAGGATCCCTTTCTCCAACCCTTGATTTTTGTGGGCATTCCAGAGTCTTTTGAATCAAGGATTGATTTCGCCCGTCTGCATTCATCCCTGTCGTCATTGGCTTCTCGACTTTCCTTGGCTCTTACGGGGATCATAGGTCCACTTTTATTCAAGTGTCCAGACCCCTGAAATCAGCACTTGGGTCCATTGGTACCCAGAAGAGATTCTGTCCATATCCACAAGGTTCCTCCATTGGGCTGGAACACCACCAGCAACAGTGATAACTATCATATGCCTTTGGGTTCTGTGGGGTCTCAACTTCAAGAGTTTTTAAACATGTGGAAAATCTTTATCATGAATCCATGGGTACTACAGGTCTTTGAGTCAGAATTATTCATTCAGTTCACATCTTCACCATTATTATCCACTCAACCTGCAGTGTTTCAACCTTGCAAATCAAGGGGGCAGTGGCGAGAGTCATGCCAGTTCTTCCAGGGTTTTATTTCCGTCTCATTGTTGTGCCCCAAAAGACAGGATATTGGCATCTGGTCCTCTATCTTTCTCTTCTAAATCAATTCCTAGATTCTCCAAGGTTCACAAAGGAGTCATTCCTTACTCTGCATTGGCATTTTTTAACAGGATTGTGGATGACCAAGTTTGATGTCACAACTCCTAGAGAGAGAGGAGAGAGTCATGCCAGTTCTTCCAGGGTTTTATTTCTGTCTGTTTGTTGTGCTCAAGAAGACAGGATATTGGCATCTGATCCTCTATCTTTCTTTTCTAAATCAATTCCTAGATCATCCAAGGTTCACAATAAAGTCATTCCTCACTCTGCATTGGCATTTTTAAGAGGATTGTGGATGTCACAGACTCCTATCTGTACATTTCCATAGTGAAGTTGTCCTGCCACAATCTGCATTTGGGCACAAGGGTCAGGTGCTCAGTTCAGGGCTCTGCCCTTTGGACTAGCATCAGCACCATATATGTTCAGCCAAATTGCTTTTTCTTGTCACCTGATTCCTTAGGCCTGTGCACACACCTTTCCTTTGACAACTGGTTACTGCTGGCACCATCTCATCAGTTGTGGAACGTCACACCCATATTCTACTTTCAGAAGCAACCAAGGCAAGCTTTATTATCAGAGCTGAGAAATTATTTTCACTCCAACACAACACATCATTCTTCTGGGTGTCTTTTTCAACACAATCTGACTGTTACCTCTCATTCTCCCACTATGGTTCTTTCTCTTTTGTTGATGTGGGCATCACTCGAATCCCTCATTCCTTTGGGACAAGTGCACATATGATCTCTTCAGTGGTCTTTCTGTGACCAATGGATCATGAACAGAGATTCACTGGATTCCCCAGTTTCCTTATTCAGGATCATCATCTCCGATCTTGAGTGAACTATACTACGATAGGTGTTCCTCTGCCACCAGCTTGTCCAGAGATCCATCTCTTCACAGATGCCTCACTTCAACAGATTTCCAGGGCCTATGGACAGACAACGAGGCTTCCCTACACAATGTTTTAGAAGTTCTTGCTGTTCAAAGGGCAATGTCTCAAGGTCTGGGCTTATCAAGGGGAAATTGTCGTGCTTCACCTTGACATTTCTACAATGGTATCTTACATTTCCCTTCAAGGGGGCACTCAGTCCAGGTCTTTTTGTTTTTGAACCTTGGATCTTCTTTCTTGGACCAACTCCCATCATATCTTCCTACTAGCTTGCCATGTTCTGGGGGTGATGAATTTCGTGGCAGATCAATTGTCTTGACCCAACCACATTCTCCCAACAGAATAGATGCTGCATTACAAGGTTTTTTATTGGATTTGCTCTCAGTTCAGGACACTGATAATTGATGCATTTGCCACTCAATAGAACACTCAACTGCTGGCATTTTGGTCTCCAGTACCTCACCCTTGGGCATTGGCAATAGATGCAATCAATCAGGACTGGATGGCTTCTATAATGACAAGGGGTTGGTCAGGTTCTGTTGATAGCACCAGAATGACTGGCTAAGCCCTGGTTTCTGCTTCTGTGGTATCTTCAGGAATGCCCACCACTTACACTTCCTCATTGGCCAACTCTGATAAGACAGCCATGATCCAACATCATACACCCAGCCATCCTGAAGCTCAAGCTTCGTGCATGGAGGTTATGCAGTCCTTCTCAAAGTGTCAGGGTTTAACTTCTGAGGTTGCCATGTATCTGTTTTTGCATAGTCCCATGATGGACAGTTATCAACGGATTTGATACACATATCCACAATGGGGTATTATGAAGAAGTTGAACCAACTTCGTCCAGAAGTGCTAACCATAACTTTTTTCTGACCTGGCTCTTTGGGAAGGGTTTTGCATCTTCCACAATTGCCTTATATGAGGTGGCTTTATTGACTACCTTTAGCTACTCGAGACGAAAATCATTCGAGTCCCCAATGCTCTCCAACTTCCTCAAGTCATTTTGGGTCCTTAGTCCCAAACGACCATTTCAGTTACCTAACTGGTATATTAAGGTGGTATTACATGCCCTTTCTGAACATCCATTGAGCCCTTAGCTTCATGTATTACTTTTCCTTTAAGGTTTATTTTTGTTGCTGCTGGCCTGTAGATGTTGCCAGTTAGAGTTGTTTGCACTGCATGTACACAAGATGCTTTATTATTCTACCTGCATCCTTCTATACCCAGACAGATTCTTCTTACCTAATACACTGGCAGCCAAGGAAGTGGATAAATCCTTTTTACCAATTCATCTGAACGCTATTTCTCACTTCTATGACCAATTGGATGACGATTGTTTGTTAGGTCCAGTGAGGGCCTTGAAGTGTAATATTGCCCACACTAACACCTTTAGAGGTGCTAGACAACAAATTTTATTCACTTGGATCCTTCAGTTTCCCAGGATTTATACCCAGTTACATTGTCAAGATGAGTATGGAAATTGATTGATATTGCTTATTCTTGGCTCTATTTGATGGTGAAGAGACTTCTGTAAGTCACGTCTCATCAGATTTGTCACATTTCTATTTTGGAGGACATTGCACGAGCTGGTATGTGTACCTCCTCCAATACTTTTTTCTCATATTATTTACATGATCTGGCAGTATCTTCCTCTGAGGGTTTTTGACTAACTCTGTAGCTATCTTAACCACATCTGCTAGATTATAAGAAGGTATGAGTATCTTCTTAACTAATATTGTCTTTTTTTTAATTTTCCATGATCCCATATTTCTTTTTCATAGGATCCCACTCTATGGCGGGTGTTGCCCAGGCAGGTGTGCTTTTATCAAACCAATTCCACAATACTAACCACTAACATGATATACTTTTTCTGGGTTGCAACAGGCTCTGTAGAAATTGGGTGTTTCATAATATCACCTAGAGGCAGATTGGGTGGTATTACTGTATTATGCAGGACCATCACTCATGGACTATCATGAGTAAAGCATAGGGGGATCCTGTCTGTCCCTACCATCCATCAGGGTTGGTTTGGTTTTAAAGATTTAGGGGACTTTGTTCACCTATTGCATAGTTTCCAGAGCATTGTTTCTCAGGGCTCCCCAGTGTGCATTACCCCCCAGGATTCTACTAGTGGAGTTAGGGAATCCTTACCACACCCAATTTTCAATCACTGGTGGTGGACAGAGGTTATTCCTCCAGGATGTTCAAGTGAATTTCCTCCATACTTGGAGAAAATGGCAAAGTTGGGGACCCTCCTACCTGTTACCCTGGATGTTGTTTTTTTCCCAGATGTTGGTAGGAGAGGCACGAGCCTATGTGGGAGCCTACTCGTAATACTGGTTCAGATTTGATGCTTGACTATCTGATTGGGTTGAGCGTGGCCCTTCTTTTTAATCAATATTGGTTTAGTATATTGTTCATGGAAGAGGATCCATTGTCTCCTCATAATTCAGATTGCAGAGTGGACCCATCCCAGGTCTTGGTTGAGCACAGTTTCTTCCATGTCCTCCCCATAATTCTGGGGACAAGTGGAATTTACCTTGTCTACACAGTGGGGAGTGAATGTGAGTGTTCATAATTCCAGACTAGATGAGTTCTGTTTCCTCAGGTTGAGTATGACATACAGGAGTTTAGGGTGTTGTCTTTCAGGCTTCTTCAGGTTGAGCAGAGGGTTTGTCCACTTTGGTGTTGTTTACCTTCTCATTGTGATTCCAGTGGCTCGGAACACATCACTCTATAGCTACAGGTTGGAATCCACTCACTAGTATATATATATTGCAATCCAAATGCCCTAGTCACCAACATGGGATTTATGGACCATGGCCCTATAATTCCAACACTGAGCAGTAGAACCTCAGCTATCTGGTTCGAGCCTGGCCAGTGGTGATGATGGATCTTTTCAAATTCAACCTGTAGTACATGAATTAGGTTCCACGTGAAAAGCATACCTGTTCTGGATGTAGTGCAGTTCCCCCACTAGGGTGTTAATCTTCTATTGGCACACCCACGATCTATGCATACGCTTTCTGTATGGATAATGCCCTCACTGGCCCCTCCACCTAATCAATGTGGGATTCTAGCTGTAGTGTGAATAGAGGTAAGTATGTTTTGGAACTTAACATTTTCTCAAATCGAAAATGTATTTCCAATAATACTTACCTACTCTCCCACCCTTCCTCCCCAATAAGAACCCATGTTGAAGACTGCGGATTGGGTCAGTATCAAAGAGTGATAATATTATCTAAATGAGGTGCTTATATACAGTAGCAAGATAGAGGGCGCATTGACATAGGTGGAGAGTGTCACAGGACAGATATCACCAAGGGCAATTAAGTGAGGAATAAAAGACTGGAGCAAGAGTGAAAAAAAATCGGACCAATGCTTAAATGGGCAAAGGAAGGAAACCCTTGTAGTCAAGTAATAGCTGTAGTGTGAGCGGAGATAAATGTTACTGGAAATACATTTTTGACTTAAGAAAATGTTAACTTAAGGAAAATCTCTAAGTAAATTAAATTTCAAGCTCATGATTTGTTTTAAACTTATTTTTCAACTCATTCTACCTGGTCTATTTTTTTTAATGTTATTTAACACACAGCTTCTTGACACTTTGTTTTGCTTAACAGCTTTTGGTTCTGCAATATACTGAAAATTATTGGATAATATATTATAAAGGGTATAGAAGCTAGGTAATTTTTCAAAATATTTAATTATATCTGGATTCTCTTTATTTAAAGCATGATTTATGTATTAAAATTTTCTAAAAGTTCAGATATGTTTCCATTTTTACGTTTACCCCCATTTGCATGAGTAGGGATGAAAGTGTGCATGCCACAATTTTTACAGAGTGCCATTCAACAAGGTATTATGTATTTGATGTCAGAGTTATCAATTATTTATTTTACCCTTTAGCTAAATAAGTTGTGGATCCACAAGCAATTTGTTGCATAAATAGTTTAGAAAATTGTATAATTTATTTCCTATTATTTTAGTTTTGTTCCATTTTATTGTATGGTCTTCTCTGAGACAAAGGGCTATTGGAGATAGATCAGTATTACACAGTCTTGTCCAGTATGGACAAAAGTATATTTATTCTTCATATGAACATCACCTTGCATTCCAACTTGACAGAGTCTGAGTCAAACTGACATCGTATTTAACAGACATATCTTGAGTACAAATACTTTTATAACATACCTGATATTTTTGAAAAATAGACTAAAAATGTACCACATTTAGTAAATTCAAAATTATGGGCAATATTTCTTCAATACAAGGTTGGTCCATTGGATCAACCCTGAGCACATTCAGTTAATAATAATATCTTATAAATGCTATATGTTGTGAATGACTTTATTTTGAAGTAAATTTTGCCTAAATTTGGTTCTGGGTTAGCTCTGTTGAAGAGGATGACCATGTTAGTTGAGCATCATATTTGTAAGTCCTAGTAAGGAATTGTAATGTTGTTGTTGTTTTTTTGTTAATGTGAAATGTTTTTTTTTTAATTATTGTCTTAACAGCTTATATGATTTGGCTACACTATACTGTACTTGTATTTTAAGGTTTTTACCAAAATTGTATTGTAAATAAAGTCTTAAAACCATTGTCATTGCTATAGCTGATACACTCACCTAAGTCTACTATTAATTTTTCTTTTACTTCTAAATACTAATTACTTTAACCCTTTGACTGTGGCTGCTTTAAGTGTGTGCAGAGCTTTTGCAAGTTGTACAATGTATGTAACACACCTGAATTTGACTAATCAGCAGTCAATGAGTTGAATGCTACATTTCTACTGTTAATATGCTGCCATTGTCTGAGAAGTCTTGAGAAGGACTGAATATGCAGTAGTGGCCGGGATTTAAAAGGGCTGGTCTGCTTTTAACTTGAATAAATTATTTGCATATTTTCAAGAGGAGTATCCAGGTTTTTCTGACCTATGCTAGTTTGACTGAGTGTGTTATCAGTTAGGTGGAGATAGAAGGCTTCTTTTATCTTTCTTTTTTCTCATGTGTGTTTCATTTCCTATTAAGTTAGTATCATTTCTTTTTATTGTATGGTCATCTTCTCTGACATGATAGGCTATTATTGATAAATCAGTATTACAGTCTTGTTTTTCCTTAATGCTCCTGATATCAGAATTTCCTTAGTCTTTTTGTTTCTCCAATTTATTGGTGTCCACATCTGCAAGAAATATTGTAGATGGTGTTGTTGCATTCCTTTGGGTCTTTCAAGTGGTTTAGTATGTACTAACTGCAATTGTATTGTGTTGTGAGTTTTGAATATTGGTCTGGCTCTATGCTATTTACATATTCTTCTGTATGTTTTCAGAATGACTTTTGACATAGGATAATTTTGGTGTGCATCTGTGGTTTCTTCCTGCTTATTCATAGTATTTATCTTTATTTTCTTCTTTATCAAATGTTATAGGAATCCATTGTCAAAGAGGGTTATAGTGGTGTGTTCCTTCCTCCTTCTTAACATCATATTACAATTCTTGTTCATTCTGAAGATAATCAGTCTGTGGCACTCAGCTTTGCACTGTTGAGGTGATATTTACTAGCATCTGCGGGTTTCGTGTAAGCTACTGTGGTATATGAGATCTTGGTAATGTTCACACCTATTTTCTGTAAATAGTTCATTCAAGTCTCAATGGGGCAGACTCTGGATAAGTGGAAAGCACCTACCTTTCTAACAAGAAGACACAGAATCAGATTTTGCTACCATGTATATATAGTACTTCTAAGAACTTCCCTGAGGATAGCAATATATCAACATCTTAAATGTAGAAAATAAAGTAATTAGTATCTAATATTTAGCCTCTGAATAATAACACTTATGTAATCTCATATGCTACTAACATGGTAACAGTTGCTATCCAATTGCCACACCTTACCATAACTTCTTAAACTCTTAAATTAAATTTTCAAAGTATAATAGAATACTTATTGTATTTTTATTTTCTAATATTGCCATTCAAACAATATTATGAGGGTCAAAAATGTTGAAGATTTCTATGAATTTAAATCTTTTTTAATCATTTTCAGTGTTATGAGATAAAAAAAAAGTTCTGTTAAATCTAATGCTGTTTAGTTTCAAAATCATTCAAAATATCTTTACAATTTTTCAGCCATCACAGCGATTCCTCGAATTGTATGTGAAGCTATAAACAGTCTGGAGTTGGTGGATAAGCAACCATCATGGAAGATTATGGATAACAAGGGCCGTATTACAGTTGTATTAAACTGGGATCAGCGAGATACCCACAGGCCACCGGGCCACCAGCCGTCCAGCAGGCAGGGTCCCATGTGGAGGGTAGAAGTGACATCACAAGAAGCCCAGACTGCTGACCAAACCACTGCCGGCACCAAAGACCTCTCAGCTCAGAGAGGAGCTCGTGCCAAACTCAGTCTAGAAGGCTTGGGACCCAGGCCTCCTTCTCGTACGCTGCCAAAAAAACCTCCGGAAAAGGAAAATGAAGTAAGTCCTATTGTTGATCATTGGCTTTGAAAATTATTACTCTTCTCTGCCATAAATAAGAAGCACCCAATTACAAACAATAAGAGCGTTATTAAACCAACCTTTCAGGATCTGCCAGAAGAAGAAGTTGCTGCTGGCCCTAGTGGAGTTGATGTACAACGGAAAGCAGGAAAAGGTCATGTTCGTTTCTTGAACGTTACACAAGAGTCAAAAATTCCCCAACTGGATGAATCTGAGTCAGACACAGAAAATACTGCTTATGAGGAGGAACAACTCTCTGAACGTTACCTTTTACTAATGGACCAGCTGTCATTAGAACAAAATCGCCACTTGTCTGTGAAGGATATTGGTGTTATTTTAGAACGATTAAGCTCTAAAATAGTAGATGTAGACAAACTAGAACGGGAGAAAGAAAGTACTGAAGTGTACAACTGGACAATCAAAGCAACCATCCGTGGAGAAGTGCTTCGGGAGATTGGAGTTATCTATAATGGACAATATTATGGAATAATGGAGCATCCAGGATATTTTTGATTGATATTCTTAGTTAACACTAAGAAATCTTTTCTACTAATTAGTGGTGCTTGGCTTTTGAGTGTCCTGCAGCTTGGTGCTGTTGCTTATGAAGTATCCACCTTGTTCACTCACTGGAAAAGGCTCATCAGGTACATCAAGAATAACTGGATGTTTAGATACAAAGCTTTCTATTGCTCTGATGCCCCTTTTTGTAGAACTCGAGGGCCAGATGTTATTAGAGTAATTCTAGTTAATGTTTTTTCAAAAACTTTACCCATTTTAAAAATACTATGTAATTTTGTAATTTATGGTGTCTTTTGTTTTAGGTAATTGATTTAACTTTCAGTCTTACATTTGTGACTATGTATCACTAGTTTTTCAATTAGAAAGTGGATGATGTTTGAATAATTAAATTATCTTTCTTATAGATATACACAAGTCAGTCAAGATTTTTTTATATTTAGTTTTACTACATTTAAATGTTCTGTCTTGTATTTTACAAAGACAACTTTGTGTATTAATGGTTGTACATGTACACGTGTAGGCTTACTGTTAGAGACTTAACCAGAACCCTTTCAGGGCCTAATTGCCCTACCTAAAAATGGGCTAACCAATTGATTACATAGACTATAGTCTATCTATAGGCCTATGTGTGTAGTCCTACTAACCTGTAGTATAGCCTTTCTAGCCAACTTCATTGTATCATACCTTCTTATCACTGCCAAGACAAGATAGATTTTGAGATGTAGTATCCTTCCCTTCAGGAACACGAATTTTTATTACTAATCCTTTGATTAGTTCTGAGACATGTGCTTATATAGAAAGAGGAAAAAGTTTTGGATACGTTTTCAATACGACAGTTCTGCCTGAAGGGATGTTAAGGCTTCCATGTGATTAGAACTGGTGAATGAGTTTTATTGAACATAAAAGCTTAGGTTGATGGTAACTCAAGTGAATGTTTTATGTTTAAGAGTTGTGCACAGAAATTGTAACTGAATGAGAAACACAGTTTTTGATGCTCACCTGTTTCTTTTAGTATCTAGAATTTGATTTATACTAACAGCTTGGAATATTTTGCACGTTTTAACCAATATACAGGACCAAATCTAGGCAAATTTAGTGATTGTTGAATCATTCCCTCACATGAGAAATTTCACCTAATTTTCATAAGAGTATTTTGCTTATTATACTGTTTTTACATTTATGAATTAAATTGAAAAGTGAACTTGTTCAAAACTCATAGAAAAAAAAAGAGAGTTTGTTTGTTAGCAGGACTACAAGGCAAATCAGCTAATTTGAATATTTTGCATAAATCTTATTATAAAAAAGATATACTGTGATTGGTGGTGGTACTCGAATTTTTCCAAAAGTACCTGACATAGTCTCATTAAAAAATCAACCTAGATTTGGTCCTGCATATACTGTACATATTGTATGGATGTATGATTAGAACCATACATGCCCCCAATCCCATCATAATGTGTGGCACCATGCAACAACAAATTTTGGTGCCATACATTAAATTATTCCACAAGACTGTAGTCTTGTTACCTTTGTGGTGCTGCAGCAGGCCAAACTTGACCTCAGGGGTCAGCATGGTTTTCAGTTTCCTAGGGATGGTCCTCCCACATTCCTTGTATTTGTACAAACTTATTACTTTTCATTCATTCTTATGTCAGTTCTCAGGCTGGAAAGATCCATGCCTGTTACCAAAAGCCATATATAGGGTGATTACAAAGTCAGTTGACAGGATAAATAATTCAAAGATTAAGAGATATAAGAAAGTAATTGTTAGTGGTGTGGAATGAGGTGTTGTGGGCCTATCCTGTGAAAGTAACATTGAGGCCATTTTTCCATCATAATCCTAAAATTTCAGTGCCAAAGGACCAAATCAAAGCCAATTTTGTGATTGTTCAATAGTTCCCTCGTTGGAGAAATTTCACCTAATTTTATTTTCATAAAAATGTTTTGCTTATTATATTATTTTTACTTTGTGAATTAAATTGAAAAGTAAACTTGTTCCAAACTAATAGAAAAAAACATGGTTTGTTAGCAACACTACAAGACAAATCTGAATATTTTTTGGAAAGTCAGACTATAATAAAGATATACTTTGATTGATCCTTACTAATAAAACATGTTAATAATAAATGAGGATTTATAGTAATTTGATTTATGCTAACAGCTTGGAATATTTTGGAAGTTTTAATCAATGTACAGGACCAAATCTAGGCTAATTTTTGTAATTATTGAATGGTTTCCTTGCATAAGAACTTTCATTTAATTTTTGTTTATTATACTGTTTTTACATTTATAAATTAAATTGAAAAGTGAAATTTGAAAACTTTAAATCAAAAATGACCAATATTGCTTCTCAAGAACAATGGCTATAAGAATAAGAATTTACCCTTTCCAATGATATGGAGTTGTGCCACAGAAGATTGAAATCCAACTTCAGCAAAGGTTGCTACACAAACTTAGGCTTGAGTTTAAGATCAGAATTTTGCATAAGCAAGTCATTGCACATTTGAATAGTCCCAAAGGTTAAAAAGTAGTGAAATTTAAAGCCTCCTACATAAGGTAACATGGTCCTACTGTATGGAGAGTGTCACCAGAATAACTGGACTGCTGCCAAACTATGTACTAAATGGTTCTCAGATGAATATCATTCTTAACATGAAATGATAGCAAGTGCGTGTCAGTGGCTGCTCACTACAAGCTCATTTATGCAAGAACAGCAAATAATATTGATATTTGTCACATTTGAGCAGCACTTTTAATGCAACTGTTAATTGTTTGCCACCATTTTGTAATACTGTTAGGATGTTTATGTCATCAGCATTTATACCTGTAACTGTTGTTGTGGAGCATTTTTGGTAATTTCTGGTTTAAAACATTTCATGTGTTATTGTCTTCACTTTTGTTATTAACTTTCTTGGTGTTTGATGCATATTAATTAACTTTCTATTGCATACATTATCAAAATGTGTTGAAAAAAATATTTTCTTGCATTTCTTATCTGAATAGGCCTATATTACACAAAAAATGTGTTTGTGATACATATTTTGTTTGGCAAGTTATAAATGTGTGCTTTACCTAAAATTAACATTGTTCAATTGAGGAACAAACAAAAATAATGTGAAGGTTTATTTAGACTGTACCTACAAATTAGTGCATTCAACTACACAACTGAAGCATTTGTACATATATTAGGCAACAAAGATATATTTGTTACCTCTACATTACAATGTGCAATAGAGGGTTAATAAAAGCAGTTGACTTAGAAATACCTCAATGATAGGCCCAAGACACAACATTCCATACCACTAACAATTATTTTCTTATTTTCCATTTCTAAATTATTTGCCTGTCATTGGATTTCTGAATTACCTGGTATGAATTGTACATATATATTTGTATGTATAGGTATATATATATATACATATAAACTAAGACACATTGTTTTTGCATGATTGATAAGTTAATCTTAAAATGATTTATGTGGCATGAAGTAAGTTTAGGTGTTGTAAGTATGTGTTATAAATGTTCATTTTCATGACTTTGTGGTACAAAAACTTTTTTTGTTGTCCTGTTCTTAGTCATATGTCTAAAAGTAGACAGAAATTTGTTAAATGTTTTTTGTGTATTGAGCTTTTTATTTCACTGTCTGTTGTGCATGCTGTACAGAACTAAACGGTTGTATTCAAATACCTTAACAAACCAAAAGTAATTAAACTTAGGGAAGGAAATAAGAAAGATAAAAATAAGTCAGATTATTTAGATTTCATTATGATTACTTTTTATGTTGTTGTTCTATAATGAAATACACATCTTCAAGATTTATGGGATAGTTTTTCAGCATTACACAGTTTGTTTCTTTTATTTCTGAGTTCTCTACTAAATAAACTTATAACTATATTAAGCTATCACAAGTAACTTTGAATCAGATGCCAGGTACTAAATTGTTTAACTTTGGCACGTACATTTTACAACTTATGTTTGAGTTCACGTGTCATAATGGTATAGCCAAGAGCACCTTTTTGTAGTACATACACTGTTTGTACTCATTAGATAAATTCAAATATATATTTTCAACATATATATATAATTAAACTGAAATTTGTTATCATAGAATTTTCATTCTCACATATAACCTACTTCAATACATGTTAAACAGATATATGTTATTCCTTAGATGCATACCATTTTTTATCATGCAAGTTATGCCTAATACATTAATGTAGAAAACACCATCATTAAAATTATAAGTACATATCTGACATATTCTTTTCCTTAAAATTATGTGCTGAAAATCATTATTATCATCTTATTGACACTACTTTTGTTGTACATGTAGCTCAAACAAAGCTGTTTGATGTGATGCCATTCTACATGTAGCTCAAACAAAGCTGTTTGATTTCATGCCTATTATAAGTGTGAGCATTGTCTTATCTCATAAATTTGGTTAATTTCATGACTAACCACTTGAATAAGTGGTTATGTTAAATAAATAAATTAAATAGAATTTTTTCAATCAAATTACATATTTATGTTAAAATGTTTCTGACATACATTATAAATATCTTAATAGAAAATTAAGGAATTAACATACAGTTTAGACTTGTTTGCTCAAAATGTGTACAGTTTTTAAGTACCTCTAACTTAAGGTGATTTATCTTGTGCTTTTTAAAATAATAGTAATTCAAAAGTATTTGTTTATAAAAAATACTGACTATTTTCATTATTTTTGAAATTCCAGTTTTCCATAACTTTGCACTTATAGTTTACATTATTTCTCATATTTATACTCTAAAGTGTTCTATGGAAAAGTATTCAATATTGTTTAAAACTGTAGTATTTTTATTACTAACCTAAAAATATCCAAGCATTTAAGTTGAATAATTTTTAGAATATAAAAACTAGCATAAAAAAGTAGTAAGTAAAACTGCTCATTAAAATTATCCCAGATTGTAACCACAATAAAAGATTAAAATATATATAGTTTGTAATTAGACTTTGGTAAGTTTTTGTATATTAGTCTGGATGCTTTTGATAATTTCTGTTTTTCGTCAGTCAGTTGTAGAGTTTTGGGGAAGAATTACTGAGGATTGATTCAATTATTTCTTTCAAATATTAAGAGAAAAAAATCTTGATATAATACTCATCATCTTAAAAACATGAACTCAACAATAATGAATAAATATATACAAACACAATTTAATGTTAACTTTTAAAAGTGAAAAATCAAGTAAAATTAACAAATAAAGGGGACTTTAAAGAATAATTCCTATTACTATTATGGTCATGAAGGTACAGTGTTTTTCTCATCATTACTTAATTTCAGAAACTTTAAAAAAATGTGAGCTTTAAAATTTTGTTTTACTTTAGAATAATTTTTGTTTACTAAATAAGCCAATAAATGAAATTTTACACCTGATTGAGAGCTTAAGTGAAGTTATTAATATCTTGTGCTAACTCATTGGAGAATATGCTATGATATTTAATATATACTTGTGACTTTGCTTCCAGAATGTAGTTATTATACACAGTGTATAACTTAAGTAGCTTTTCAGGCCCGAATATTATGTAGTATGTTTAAGTTCAATTACTGGTGGCTATGAACTTGAAGGAAAGAATAGCAGTGAATGTAAGTGTTTTGTTTTCGCACCTGCCACATCAGTTTTGATGAAGTTTTGAACCAGAAGAATTTCAGGGCTTAAAGAATATTACTCCATTGTCATTAAAGTTGAAAGCCATTGTCTCGAAACTTTCACAAAGTGAGTAAAATATTCTGATGCCATTTGGACTAATATTAACTAGATGTACATTTATAAGAATTACTTCAGGGATATAGATTGCACTTTGCATACTGCTCAGCAGAAAAACTTAATCATTGCTGGAGTGATGAAGATCATGTTGAAATGGGACAGTTTCAAAAGAGAAAACTGTAGGCTGGATGTTGTTTTTTTAATGTTTTGCATTACCTTTTTAAAAGTTTGTTAAGACTATAGTATTATTCTTCTAAGTATTAAAATATCCAAGCATTTAAATTAAGTCATTTTTACAGTAACAAAATAGCATAAAAAAAGTAACTGATGAACTATTCATTACAAGTTTCTGTACTATGGTAATCAGTATATTTATTAAGGTATGACCACTAAAAATACCTGAAATATATTTCATATTACATTTACAAATATACTGATTAATCATAGGAGGTATTTTTAGGATATAGGAAAATAAATATTCCTACTTGAGGTCATGATTTAAAATATACTCAACAGTCAGGTTTTGACTAGAAGTGTTGTAAATACCACAGAAGATATAAAAATAACTTAATATCCTTGAAAATTGCACTTTCTAAGAATAAGTTAATACTTCGTGCATATTTAAAAATTCCTTTAGGCAGAAATGAGTAAACATATTCTGACAGATCTGAAGTACAAACTATTGGACTACCGTGATACTTAAAGACAAATTTACATTTTTTGGTGCTTTTCTCTGCTTATCAGCCATTTGAGGCAGCTTTAGTTTTCTGCAAGTTTTTAGTACAACATTAGCAATATTAAGAATGACTGAGTGTGTATACATGTATGTGTGTTTTCTATTTTAGATAAAAAAATCCATAACTTCTTACTACCTTAAAACTAGTATTTATTAGATATATTGAAGTTTCTTTATTGAAACATCTGACTCTGCACTAAATAATAATTGTTTTATTATACATACTATTTGTTAAAAAAGTGAGATAACTATATGATTTTGTTTTCAGATTATGTTTAACCTTTGCATTTTTCTAGTTGTGAATGAATAAGTATGTAAAACAGAAATATATTTGTTAAACTTTAAAAGAATTAGCTAAGGAACAAGAAATATATATATATATAGGAATAGTAGACATGCAAATCTATCAACTGTGTGTGTGTATCACTTGTGGTGAAGATAGTAAGTTTCACAAGTGTTGGCAAAATGTCAAAAGCCAGTTTTAAATATAAATGAATTAGTTTTTGGGTAATTTGTTTTGAATTATTTCTAACAGTGTAATGAGTTTATTTTAAATTGTTACATGTGTATCATTGAGTTTAGTGTTGATAAATTTATGCTCTATTGTCTCACTGGTGGGTAAAGATTAGTAAATCTGAAGCAGTTTTTGATCTCTTGTAGCTAAGATCTTAACTTATCTTAGTGACAAAATATATCATCATGCCTGAAGCTTTTGTCAATTTCCCCACATGAAATACAAAGATAATGTTGAACAAATATAGATGATGAGAACTTGATAAAGTTTGTGTTTGTTTCTTGTAATTGAACTTTATTTAATATACTTTAAGTCTGGAGTTTCACATTATGTTGTAAAAGGGTTAAAATATGAAACAGTGTTTATTATGACAAACAGAGTTGTTTAACTTTTTTAAATTTTAATTTGATTTTCTAAAAGAAATTTCATGTAAACGGTACTGATTTAATATAATGTGTGTTAGATCAAGACTAGTACACAGACTAAAAGTGAAAACTTTTCATTTTAGATTGTAAAAATGCATTTCTTTTATTGTTTCAAGGAAAGATATTCATCGGGAATAGATGCAAGCTAAAGAGTTTGTACCAAAAAAAAAGAATTATAACAGCTCATAAAAATTATTCTCAAAACTTGTTATGTGTATCAGGACAAAATAATGTGAGTTAACATTCTATTATTATTAAAGATTATTTGAAATTCTCAAGAGTCTGGAAAATAACAATTAGTGGTTCCCTCAGGTATAAGAATGAAATTAATAAGGATTTGTAGTGTGTGTAAAAGAAAGGCATAAGACCTGCATACATTTTTCTCCTAGATTACATCTCGGAAAGAAAGATCAATTGGCTTAAAAGTTACCTTGGGTGATAAAAACAGTCTTGTCATCGTATTGCCTTGTACAATGTATGAATTTATTTAAATGGCACCACCCCATGATGGCTCAGTAGTACGCTTGAGGGCTTGTAATACTAAAAGTCAGGGTTCAATACCTGTAGGCACAGTGCATATAGCACAATGCTTAGCTTTGTGCTTAAGGGAAAAAAATGAAATGGTTGTAATTACAAAGAACTACAAGTTCAGAAAGAATCCATTGGAACTATAGATAACAATATATGTCTGATACACTTGTCGTGATGCAGTGTCACCTGTTGAATATTATTATCATATAAACAAGGAACCAATTCCACAACAATTCTTAATACTGGGTATCAATGTAGACAGTTGAAAGGACTCTCATCTCAAAAGAACCACTTCTGAATTAACCTTTTCTACAATGCTGATAAAAATTGTCTGGTAGAGTTTCTTTTTACAAACTAGTGCTAAAGGTATTTTTGACCCTCTTCATGAAGAATGTACTAAAGAGCATTGAAAGTTTATTAAAATCAGAAAAATGAAGTCTCAGAAGAAACCACTACATTCACTAGTGTATTTTAGCATATGATGAAAGGCAAGACTAGAACTAAAAACTTAATCAGACATAATGCATTAAAAGTGTCACAATAACTGTGAGGAAACTACCAGAGGCTTAAAGTTTTTAGAGTCAACCCAATTCTCTGCATGGTTATTTTTCAATGTAGGATGATGGGGGGATAAAGAGTGTTTGCTTCAGTGAAGCAATAATAAAGTTGAACTTTATAAAAGGAGGGGAAAGGATATCATCAAAAGGTACATGGCTATTCTGTGATTGTGGATTAGTCTGTTGATAGCAAATGTTCAAATTTCAATACATATTAAAATTGTAAAATTACAAAAAAATGGTCTTTGTTAATTAAAGACCTTTGTATATTCTAGTAGATATTGACTGTAATATATGTACACTGTGTTTTGTTGCATTTCTTTTTCAGTTAAAGGTGCTTGTCTTACATGTTTGCTGAAAGAAATAGAAAGTTGTGCATGTGATTGTTTTGTGCTAATCAATCAAACTATTCAGATAGGTAGATTCTCTCTGCCTCATAGTTGGTTGTAATGATCTGAAACTGTTATGTTGTCAATTCTAGTCAAGGTTTGTACCTGATAATCTTTACATATATTCAAAGTTGACCCATTTGTAGCTCAACTATGTCTTGTATTTTTAAATTGTGTAACACTTTTTTTTTAACCTTTGACTGTTCAGTATTTAAGGAATTTGTATTATCAGTGTTTGTGTGCATTTATTTATAGCTGATATTTATTTGGCACGTTATATAAAGTTTAATTTAAATAGTTAGGTGTGTATAGGAATATAAATATATTTAGTAAGCATGTATACAGAATTACATAAACTTTCTGTGTTTTATATTCAAAATTTATAATATGGATTCTATTTGCATAGCTGCCTTTAGAGAAGGAGCTCTGTATTCATATTTAAATATTTCAGTCTTTTAACATTTACTTCATAATAACCTCTCTGATAATACATAACTCCTAGAAAATATTTTACTTACTTTTGTACATTTTTCTCCTATATTTGTAATTCATAGTTAACCTGTGTATATTATTTTACATAGAGGGTTCTGTATCACCTCCTGTACAAAATCCACCAGAACGTCTATAGGAAGTTGTGCAAATGTATGAAAAATATTCCTTGAATTTAACATTTCATTCCAAATGTGCTTCCAGACTGTGTATCTGTGTCTGGCGAGTGATCATCTAGCAGAAGATATATCTTCTTATGACGTTACACACAACAGTAATGGCATCGTTTAACATGATAAATTGGTTGAAGAAAAATATATCATTTTAGTTGAGCAGTGAAAAATAAAGGATAATGAGACTGAGATTATGAAGTATCCTAGCAATTAATATTTCCTTGAATTTTACACTTATTATGCTTATCAAGAAATGATTATCTATTTGAGTAATTATCTTGTAATTGGTGCCAGCTTTCCTAAAAAATTTCCTCATTTTGTAGATTGTGGACTGTACAATGTTTTTGAGTAACTTTATAGTGACTTTACAACATGAATGTAAGTCATACGCATGCACTTCTTTTTCTGTTCTGAGTAACAGTTGTAAAGCTAATTTTTGTATCGTTTTGCTTCTTCCTAGAATAAGGCACCAAATTGGTATTATCATTTTATGATTGCCATAAACAAACTGTACTGTTTTTTTAAATGTTGTTAATTAACAGTTGATAGTTGTGAACCATTAAACTATTTATACCATTTTAAAATTTGTGTGAAATTACTTTGCTTAGTCCATTCAAAATAACAATTTTATCAGACCCAAACTATCAGTAGTATATTGTACTGATGTAACTTTTTTTTCACAAGTTTCAATAATATATTAATGTTGGTATTTTATTCTAAAATATGTTACAACACAACTGTTTATTATAGTCAGAAAAATTTAATAACTGGAGTAGACTGCCTATTTTTCAAATTTCATATGATCAGAAAAGAGGAATATGAAACAAAAATGAGGTAAAATTATTATTTATATAATGGGTGGTTTATTGCTGCTTCTCATGTGCATACTGTTTTTATGAAAAGAACCTAAAGAAGAAATTTTCTTACCAATCTCCTTCTGTGAGTATATGGAAAAGATCAGGGTAGAATAATATAGAGGATGAATATATCACATTAAAATAATTTTGGAGCCTTACTATGTCACTACAGTCCATGTTGCAACACCTGGTTATACATTATATGATGACACATCTGGTGCGTTGACTGTTATGTCTTTGTATGGAATAGTATGACTACCCTTTTTTTTTCTCCAGCTGCTTGAGATGTGTGACAATTGAAATGATATGCTGGGGAAGCAGCTTGGGTACTCCTGATTTGTGTTGCTTTTCCAAATAGTGATCTTTCTTGATTATTTTGCTTACTGTTGCCTGGGGCATGTGAAGTTTTTTGTCACTAACCTTTGTGTTCAAAGTTCTCACCTCTTACAAGATGTTGCACTTTGCTTAACCATGATTAGGGTATAACATGGATGGTCCCGGCATCATAAGTTGATCCACATTATTTTGTTTTTTAATACCGTTAAGTACAAGAGATATTGCCATCATGGAACTTATAAATCTCTGACCTGAACACATATTTATGATCAGATGAATATTTTGCATCAGAAATGGCTGTTACATACACTTCCCAAAAGCAGTCACTGTTTGGTGGCATCATACTGTAAAAAATACCAAACTTTCAAAATGTAGTTCTGATACATGCCATTCAACTGTGACTTTATATTGAATGTGTGTTTGTCACATGACTTGCTGATTCACATATTTAAAATCGTTTTATTACAACATACTCAACCCTCTATAGTTAAATGGCTTTCTCCAAATGTACACTTACTATGTGAGTAAGAAAGAAAGCATCAGGTTGCAATGTGGCTGGATAACATATTTTACTACAGAGGTGTACAATAACTTTGGTATGTCTCAATATGAGTAAGGTAATTTCCATACTCAGGGACTTGTTGGTGGTTTTTGTAAATGATTAACACTTTTTTTTCTAGTGTTTCATGTACTCTGTCTGTTGACCTTGAAGGCTTTACTTCAGACTTTCCAAGGGAGCATGAACACAGTGTCACCTAATTTCCTATCTTTCATACATATTTTCCATGTTTTTAAATTTAAGCACAATTGCCTAGCTGTTTTTCAAAAACTTTAAATTTGACTATGTCTGATAGTGATTCAACCATAAGATCAGATAAACTCTTCCTAAGATTTCGAATTCATGTCTCATCAAATATGCTCGCCCTTTCAGCCGTGGGGGCATTATAATGTGATGATCAATCCAACTATTCATTGGTAAAAGAGTAGCCCAAGAGTTGGTGGTGGGTGGTGATGTGATGACTAGCTACCTTCCCTCTAATTAGGGACGGTTAGTGCAGATAGCCTTCATGTAGCTTTGTGCGAAATTAAATAATAATAATCCTATCATCATGAATATACTTTACTATGCTGTTTCAGGAGTAAATAAAAGGAAAATTAAGATTCTTCCTGCTTTTGATATACTTCATTGGAGCACGTCCCTTGCTTGGGTCCCCTTTTAGCACAACATGTACTGCAGGTCCTACGCCATTCTTCCACATCTTGCCTCATACCTATCCAGTAAAATCTCTGTCGTAGGTGACTCAATGCCTTCTTAACCCTGAGATGTCCTCCTGTTAAACTATCTTGGTATAACTGTTTGCCAGGTTGTCACTTTCCCATCTCCGGAGAAGAATAACATCTTCAAGCTTCAACTGGTCCCATTGTGCCCAATAGTTCTTTGTCACAGGGCTTAAGCTAGACACCTTCTCCCAAGCAGGGTGCAAAACACTTGCTTGTAGAAAATCAGTTATTGGCTTCAAATCTTGGTCTTTCTCCTGCTCTGCTTTAATATTTATACCTGGTTCCACTTCACCATCATGTACTCCTTCAGTCACTTTGACTTCAGCTTGATGGCACCTGGTTAGTCCAACCTCTCTTTTAACACTTACCGGAATTTGGCCTTTGTTGTTCCCAAATGTCATTTTTATTAAAGTTAACTACACACTTCCTAATAGGTAGTCCAACCGTAATATGCATTGGTCTTCAATGTCAGCCAAGTATACTTTGTGTCTGGCCTTCATGCCCATAAGCTCAATAGTTACCTACACTGGTCTACGTAAACTTGCATAAT